CAGGAAGTTCAAGGGTCTAAGTTGAACTACCTAGTTTCCATAAAGAAGATCTTGCTATTAAGGAAGCCCTTAAGGTCTCCGATAAGTATATTAGTAATAGCAATATTATTACTATCTTTACAGACTATAAGAGTTTGAAATACTTAAATTATACTAAAGGCCAAAGCAAAAGGATTGCAAGATAGGCTAATAACTTCTAACAATACAACCTAGATATTAGGTATAGGAAGGGGTCTAAAGCTATTGTTCTAGATACTTTGTTAAGAAGACCGGACTTTATTAGTACTAGACCTACTAACATTTTTTAGCTTAATAATAATATTCCTATTATTTAGGAGAAATTGTTAGCCTTAAGAATAAAGGTAGAACAGGTTAAAGACTTTCCTTAAGCTATACTTGCTTTTAAAAAGTTAGGTATTCTAGCTAAGGATACCTACCTCTAGTTCTTAATTAAGGAAAGACAAGACTAATTTCAGCTCCTATATATTAATAGAGAGGAACATTTAGGTTTTATACTTCCTAATAATAAAGGCACTACACTATACTTAGAGCTAATCTAGAGAATAGACTTTATAGAAACTATATATAAGAACTATAGCTATTTTAGACTCCTAGGTATTATAGGATTCTCTAAGACTAGAGTATAGTAGCTAACTATAAAGAAGGACCTAAGAAGATACATTGAAGCTTGCCCTTAGTACTAGCTAATCTAGAAGAATTCAACTAAACTAAAGGAGACCTAATTTACTTAAGCAGACATTAAACTCTAGCCTTTTAAAAGATAGGCTATTAATATTGTTAGGCCCTTTCCTACCTCCTTCTTTAGCAACAATTTCATTATTATAGCTATTAATGTTGCTACTAGATAGCTAGTCTTAAGAGCTGTTTCCTCGGTAGATAATAAAGAAACTGCTAAATTCCTTTATAAGGACATTTACTATTACTATAGACCTCTAAGGGAACTGCTCTTAGACAATAGTAAGAATTTCTTATTAAGAGTTCTTGCATATTTGAACAAAAAGCTTAAGACTAATTATAAGCTTGCTTTACCCTATTATCCTATAACAAATAGCAAGGTTAAGAACCTTAATAGCACTCTTAGAAATATTTTGACTAAGATATATATTAGTTCTAATATTAGGCTTTAGGATACCTTCCTACCTAAGGCTATATAGTATATAAGATATAGGCAGTATTCTATATACAACTTCTCCCTATTTTACTTAGTATATAGCTAGTATCTAAGGATACTAGAGGATAAAAACGAAATTAGACCTCTTAATATTAAGACTGCAGATTCTAGGTCTAGGATTTTGTAGGTTAAATATACTAGGCAGCTTGCAAATCAAAGGCTACTTAAGAGGGCTATAGCAAGGAAACTTATCTAACTAGAGATTCTATTAGGAGAAGGTCCTCGCTTGAAAGTTAGTACCTAGGTATTGCTTTAGAACCCTAAACTAACTAAGCTCTAACTAAAATAGATTAGGCCCTATAAAATTAGGAAGGCTTATTAGCTTAGAACGTATATATTGCAAACTCCTAAAGGGAGGATGCTAAAGCATTTAATATATAGGAATAGAGTAGTAAAGGCACATTGCTTAGATGCTACTTATTTTTGGTATAAGTATCTAAATAGTAGGCTGCTAAATAGTAAATATACTATAGTATTAGATCCCTAGATTAAGCATGTCCTATCTTAGTAAGACCTAATCCTTAGCTTTAAAGAGTTATTAACTATCCTAGAGAGTAGGTAGTTGAAACTATAACCTTCCTAGGAAAACCCTAAGCTTTATATAGGTATAAGAAGGTTCTTAGTAGGGGAGGGAGATTTGATTATTAATTCAGACCTAAAAATAGCTAAACAGGTACTAAAGGATAGAAAGAATAAGTATAAAAGAAAGATAAAACAATCTAAGCTTGCCTAAGTCTAATAGTAAGTTAATTAATTATAGGCTAAGCTATAAAAAGAAGAGGAAAGGGATATAGGGATTAAGGAAGGCTAGTATTAAATTTATTATTAAGTTGCTCCTAGTCTCATAGCACTCCCTTATCCTTAGGACTTGATATAGCCTATACTTAGGACTTCTAAATTAGAAGAAGGGGAACCTAATTAACCTATAGAGATTGTAGACCTAAATCTATAGGGATAGGATACTTAGATTAAGACACCTAAACCCTAGCCAACCCTAATACTAGTGTTAGAAGCTATTAAGAGTCTAAAAAGAAGAGCAATAAGGAAACTAAAAGTTTCTAAACTAGCTAAAGTTCCTAATATTAGACCTTCTTAGTTAAGGAGAAGTCCTCTAAAGAAGAAGTTCTTTAATAATTAAGATAGCTAGAATAAGGCAAATTAGTAAAGAAATCTTTATTTTCTATTACTAAAAGAGGAGCTATAAGCATCCTAAACTTTAGCCTTAGGGTATTAACTATAAAAGCAAAACCGATTTAAACACCTAAGCTCTTAGCTCTATAGTCGTATCGTTTCTAGCCTAGCAACTAGGAAGACTAGCCTAACCCTTAAGGCTCTAAGACCTCCTACGCTAAAGGCTAATCCTTTAAAACCTAATACTTAGCCTATTAAATAAAAGGCAGTAGAAGTTTTGTCTAAAGGATCTCTAACCTTTATTACTAGACTTAGACTTCCTAGATTAGTTTAAGCGATCCTAAGAGAACAGTAGAGCATTATCTATATCCTTATTATTATCCTTATCCTTATCCTTATCTTTATCTTTATCCTTATTATTATCTTCCTTATCTTTATTATCTTCTTTAGATAATGAAATTATCTTATTTAAGGAGGCCTCTAAACGATTAGCTATACCTCGAAGAGATATAATAATATCGCGTATAAAGTTAGTCTAGCCCTTATCGGACGCGAAGGTAAAAGGGAGCCGAATAAGTCTAGGCTTTTCTAAAGAATCGATTATTCCTTCGTTATAGAAACTTTTTTACTAATCGCGACGATCCTATCGATAGGATCGCTTAGGATCCTTAGGATCCTTAGGATCGTACGTTAAAGATCTTGTCTAATAGGATCGTCGCGATCTAGAAATTCTAGTAAATCTAATCGTAATTAGAATTTTATTCTTTACCGTCCGACTCGTATATCGAGTCGGGCCCGAGTCGTCGTAGGTGCTAGTACTAGCCTTTAAATTACATTTTCTATCGGATCTATATATTATACGATTGTTACTTCTACTAACATCTAACGATTATACGTATACTCGGGTAACTACCGGCATTTATATACGTCTACTACGTATACTAAGTTAGTACCGACTTAGCGACCGACTCGTATAGTATTAATAGATTTCGTTATATTATATAGGGCATCTATTTATTACGGTTAATAAGAATATATTCTATTCGTCCTCTACGGCTATATTAAAGCGATATACCTCTACCTTCTTTCGTTTATTTCCTTTCGACTTCTTCTTCTCTTTTACTATATATCTCCTAATTCTTCGATCCTACGTCTCCTCGTTAAATACTATCTCCTCGACTTTGCCGCCGTCTGCCTCTATATCCGCCTACTATATCTACTCCCCCTCTTCTAGCCCTAATATATCCCTAACGCGATTACTTACCGCCGCGAATAAAGTCTTATCTATTACGTAAGACTAGTTAGAATACCTACTGTTCGTATAGTAATTAGCGCGTAATCCTTTCCCTATTCTTATTACCGCGGTATATCTATATCTTTTATATCTATTGTCTTCGGTTCTATTGTATTCTAATGTCTCGGTAGTACTTATACCGTTACTTTCCCGTACTAAAGCAAACGGATTAGCAGACTCCGTCGGCTCCTAATCTATCGCTTAGAAACTGCTCTATAGTATAGGCAGTCTAATATCGTTTTTCTTAGGTAGGGCCTCTACCTCCGCTAACCCATTTATCGCATTATCGCCGGCTTTGAGTTATTTACTTAATTATTGCCCGATAGACGCTTTAGGACCTATCGACCATATTAATACACAAGAGAAACACGGCGCTCGTAGACTACTCTTACTATAGCGCTCGATCGATCCGCCTTTATCGTCGGAATCTAAAACGACGTCGATTGCTATAAGTATATCGATATCGTTACCTACGCTCTCGAAGTTATTTATTAATAATTTAGGGGTATCCTATACTCTGCCTGTATACCGTACGTATATCTTCTACGCTTTCGATAACCGAAGGTTACGAGTAGCTTAATCCGTCGTATTCTACGTAATTATCCGATCTAGGAACGGCTAGTATATTAACTTATAGTCCAAGGCTAGCTAGATCGCTTTACCTCTAACTTTAGTTAAATACGACTCTATCGACTATCTAGTTAGTATTCTACTAAGTACCGTAGCGGTAGACAATATTATAAAAGGGGTAACTTTATAGTAGTACTATTTAATATATGTCTTCTAGCCTCGCCGATCCTACCGGAGTAGTATACCTACTAGACATTTGTATATAAGCTTACTAAGGTAGCGCGTAGCATATATCGACCGTTAGCTATTATTTAGTAACTATACTATTTTAGAGAGATTCTTACTAGTTTCTCGTCGTAGTACTCGAAGATTTAGTTATCGAGTATCCTCTTAGCGTATACTATCCTTTTTAGAGTATCGGTTATTGCGATCGGTGCTTAGTTTATTAATATCGATCGGATATAGGTATTAATATAGCCTCGCTCCTTTCGTATAGCTTCTCGTAACTATTCTAATATTAGTCTCGATACTATTATATTAGGATCTCTACCGACTGCTTAGATTACGTCTCTCGATAGTATATAGCTACCCGGCTATAGTACTATTATATATAAAGCTAGTAATCGATCGTAGTTTTTACTATATACCTCCTTAATTGTTTCGTCTACCTATACTAGGGTTTAAGTAGTAGGAAATATCGTCTTATATCCTCTAGCCCTAGTTAACGTAATAGCGAATAGTTTACGACGCGTCTCGTTATATAAGATTTGCTCCCTTGCCTCGAGTAAGCCCTTCTTTCGATTTAAACGTTCTTTACTAGTAGTTATTAAGCCTTTGTCTCGTTTCTTACGTCGTTTTAATAGCTTTATATCGTCGCTCCGATCCGCCCTATCGTCGCCGTACTTCCGTTTTAGCCTTACCGGATCTTTGCTATTCCTACCCTTATACTAGTTACGTTAGTCCTCTATCGCCGTACTCTAGTATACGTTACCTTTATAAATTTCGATCTAATACTAGTCGCTACGTATAAACAACTCTCCTCCCCGTTTTCTTCTTCGAATCTAGTATCCCTATCCGACTCTATCGAGTTAGATAACGATTAAGTTCTATATTTATCTTCTTCGTAGTTGCGACCTATTATAAGTATACTATAACGAGTAGTAGTATTGTTGCGAATCTAACGTAGTATATATTAGACTATACGCGTCTTCGTACTTATTTACTCTACGAAAAGGGGGGTATTAAATTGCAGTTTTATCCTCTACTCCTATATAGACTGCCTAACTCGCTGTCTATAATCGCTTATTAGTCCTATCGGATATGCCCCGCTAACGCTAAAGTATAATCGTAGCCTATAGACTATTCGCTATTTACGTACCTTATCGACGCTAGCCTAATTCGGTCGCGAGTCGGATTCGGGAACTATTAATCTAGCGCTATTATTAGACTAGCCGTAAGCATTATAGTCTAGGCCGACGGTATATAGCAACACTATCGATATTATACTAAAGCAATCGGCGTATTTAGACTATTTATTTCTCGCTCGGTCGCTACTATAGTATATATAGATATATATTCTTTATCGATAAATCAATCGGCGTAAGCTAATCCGCTAGGTCGAATATATACCTTCGAAGCCGCCTCGTAGCATTACGGGTTAGTTAGAACTATCTCTATCGGCGTATTTAGCTAATTCGAGGTTAATAATACCGTAGAGGCCCTATACTCGATAGATGCAATTCGAAATAGATTAGCTAGAGGTATATAATCTACCCTAGCCTAACGACTGCTAGTCGCAGCCGATTTAGCCTTTCCTTAATTATCGCGCTACCCCGAGTCCGCTATCGCTATAGCGCGATTAGGGTGCTTAAATATAGGCTAAGATTAAATAGATAAAGGAAGAGATTGTAGCGCTTAAGACTACTATACGTAATATACTTACTATATATTAGTATATATCT